CCCTCGCCCTTAAACGCGGGCTTAGCGCGGGGTCTCACCGGCCACGTGAAGTTAAAGGGCAACTTGATGGGGCTGTCAAATCGCTCCGTGTCCTTGATGCTGAAGGAGTTCATTCCCAGGATCGGGGTGATGATGCTGCCGAAGGTGCAGGAGCCCGGGGAGACCACTGCCTGGAAGTGCTTCAGGCAGACGCGGAAGAAGGTCCGGCAGTGTGGCGAGCAGGGCTTGCCGCTGGCTAGCGACCCGTGGCTATTCACGAATTCGTGCAGCTCCAGCTGGAAGACGCCAGAGCCGGACACCCTCTGCACAAAGGGGGAGACACACACAAAATAGCCACATCAGACCTTACCCCCGGGCTTTGCCGTGCGAACTTTGCTTCCATCACCCGCTTTACATCTCGCCAACCCTTTTTTGTTTGTTTGTTTCTTTTTCTTTCTTTTTTTTTTTTTTTTTGGCCGTGTGGGGTTACCTGCTGCAAAGCCATTAACAGAAACGTCAAGCCAAAGATGCGCCGGGCTGTCATCCTCGTGTGATTCAAGCTCCCGCTTCTGGGTGGGTTTTAGCTTTTCCTCCTGTATTCCTCAAAACGGTCCAAAGCCAGCGCTTCCCGGCCGAGGGTGCCAAGAGAGGCGTCGCGGCGATTCTCCCGGAGCAACCTGCTCTTCCAAATTATTCCCCCCCGACACACACACGCACACCGCCCCCCTCTCCCGGCACCAGCAGACGATCGGAAGGTAAAATCCAGGTGTCGAGCCGTCGTCCCTTTGCCGGGGAATTAATCCTGCCAGCCGGACCTCTGGGCGCTGTTGGTCGCCTTTAAATGAAACTCCAGAGCCGGGGTGGGTCGGGGCGAGGGACGCGGAGGGGGAGTGCTTGGCGTGGAAACCGCTCCTCCTTTCCCCGGTGCCAGCGGTGCGCAGTAAATGGGAAACTCGCTTCCCTGCGAGCTGTTTATATAGTTGCCTCGCATCCTCGCAAGCTCATTATGTAAACCGTCAGTCAGGCTGCCGGCCGAGCCCTCCCCCTTTTCCATCTTTCCTTTCGCGGGGGG